CCTCCACGCCGGGCCTCCATCTCCACGCCAGGCCTCCACCTCCACACAGGGCCTCCATCCATCTCCACGCCAGGCCTCCCTCTCCACGCACGGCCTCCATCTCCACGCCGGGCCTCCACCTCCACACAGGGCCTCCATCCATCTCCACGGCGGGCCTCCATCCATCTCCACGCCGGGCCTCCATCTCCATGCCGGGGCTCTGCTGAGATGGTGGCGTGGATGCCGTGGTCGCACATGTGTCATCCTCAGCACAGGCTGTCTGGCCACACCCATGGGCTTCTTGCCAAAGCTGGCTTTGCCAACAGCGAATCTCCTAATTTATAACCCTTTGTAAACTGGGCAGGCCGAGCACCTCCCAAACTTTCAAGTTCTGGTTTCTTACATCATTTTTTTATATTATTTTGACAAGACTGACCACGTGCCATTCTGAAATCCTCTTTCCTCTCATATTTTACTATGAGCAGCAGAAATAAATTAGGCTGCACCTGCCACACTTGCTTGGAAATCTTGGCTGAACATCCACATTCCTCACTTAAAAATTCTGCCTCCACCTGGCAGTGCCGCACAGCCCGGTAGCAACACGGGGACAACCTTCCCTCCGGCTTCCAACAACTGAATCTCACTTCCTCCTGAGCTCACTCCAGAAGCACCGGGAACTCCACCCACCAACTCTTCAGGACACCTCGGCTTCTTCTGCACCTCAAAATACTCATGTACGAAATCTCATTCACATCCCATCAGTTAAAAAAATCACAAATTTCATCATCTAAAGTCATCAGAGGCCAGGTGTGGTGGCTCACGCCTGTAATCCCAGCACTTTGGGAAGCCAAGGCAGGCGGATCACAAGGTCAGGAGTTCAAGACCAGCCTGGCCAACATAGTGAAACCCTGTCTCTACTAAAAATACAAAAATTAGCCGGGTGTGGTGGCCGGCGCCTGTAATCCCAGCTACTCAGGAGGCTGAGGCAGAAGAATCACTTGAACCCGGGAGGTGGACGTTGCGGTGAGCCACGATTGTGCCACTGCACACCAGCCTGGTGACAGAGCGAGACTCCGTCTAAAAAAATAGCAATAAATAAATAAAATAATAAAATCATCCGAATCACTTAAATCAGGTGTGTGTGATTCTGGGTGTGCATCTTCCTGGGCGAACATCCTCCACACACGGACCTGTGATCCTAGAAAGAAGCCTCTGCCGTCACCCAGTTCCGAAGTCACATCCGCGCCGGGAGGCGTTCGGTGCCGCAGCACGCAGCTCCCGGGTGTGAACGTCCAGAGTCATTTGCTGCAGCTCCTGTAGCTAAGTGCCACTGTGTGTGTGTAACAGACATTTGTCCTTTCCCAGTCCCAGAGGACAGAGTCCAAAATCGAGGTGCGGGCAGGGCCTGCTCCCTCCGACGGTGCCGGGAGGGTGCTTCACGGCTGCAGGCAGCCCTTGGCTTCCGGCCGAATCACCCTGGGCTCTCCCCTTCCTAGTTGGCGCTGTCTCCTCTGTTTCCGAATCTCCCTCTCCTCGTAAGGACACTCATCATCGGACCCGGGGCCCGCCCGGAAAATCCAGGATGATCTGAGATTGTCCTGACAGGTTCAGGGCACGAGTGTGTCTCCAGGAGACAGAGGCCGTCATCCAATCCACCGGAAGCCCCTGCCCCGCCCAGGGCTTTCAGGCGGGAACTGCGTGCGGGCAGCCCTGGGCCCCGGCACGCCTGGGGGGTGTACGCACTGTCCACGTCTCCTGCTCAGCAGGCCCTTCTGCAACCGACCTCGGCGCCGGGCAGTCCAAGAGCCGTGGGCTGTGGGCCTGAGGGAGAGGCAGCAGGTGCTGTCACCACCAGGCACTCGGGAGGATGCGGGGCTGGGAGACCCACATACCCGGGTCCCAGTAGGAGCCGCACAGAGCCCCCAGCCCCAGGTCAACCTTCACCCCTCACCCTCCCGCCCCTCTTCTGCCCACCCCAAAAACCTCTGGGGACGGGAGCCCAGACCAGGTCGGCAGATTCGGAAAGAGAAAGCACCACCATCGCCAAGTCCATTGCGTCCCAACTCCCTGGAGTCCCCCGGGCCGCGTCTTCCGTGAGCAGCTGGGGCCCCTCAGGGCTGAGATGCCCACCCGTCCCACTGGAGCTCCCCGGCTGACCTGAAAGTGAGTCCAGATTTACTCTTGAGGTTCCTCAGCAGCTCCAGCTGGTTGAGCGGGGGGATGAGTCTGGAGCAAGAGGAGGAGAGGGGGGTGAGCGTCCCGTCGCCGAGTCCTGGGACACCTCCCTCTGCCTGCACGGCTCACAGGCGGGGCCTGCGGGGTCAGACACCCAGGGGCGTGTGGGGCGGCCGGGCTTCAGGCAGCCGCCCCTGGGACCTGCGCTCAGGCCCACCTCTCCTCGGCAGGCTCCGACGCCACCCTCCTGCTCCGGCTGTGCCTGGGGCCCTGGCGACCAGCAGGCGCAGAAGGGAGGAGGGCGCTGGCCGCCCGTGCCGCCCCGACCCTGAGGCCAGGAGCAGGTGGAGGAGAACGCGCAGGTGGGGACGGCCCTATCCCTGCCCCTCTTCTGATCCCCGAACACCCCTGAAGGACGCACCCCAGCCCCTTTGCCCAGCCACATTCTCTGCCTGGAAGACTTGGGGGGAAACAGAAGGGTTTTGCTGGACACAGAGGCTCATTCGGAGTCTGCAGGATGAGTCCAGCCTCTCAGGCCCAGACGCCTCGGGGACCCTCCACAGGTCCCCGAGCCCTGTTCCCAGTCCTGGTCACACCCACCACTGTCTGCCTGCGCCACCACCCACAGCCACCAGCAGGACCAGGTCCAGGCCCCCGAAACCCACCAGGCGGCGTGCAAGCACCTCCCCGCATCTGTGTGGGACATCCCCCTCTTCGCCCCCCCCACTCCCACCCACCTCACCTTGCCCACTCCGCCTTGCCTCAGTTCCCTCACAGCGTCCCAGCTCACTTCAGGAGGAGACGCCCTCCTAGGGGGCCTCAGCCCCACCCGGCCCCTGACACACCTGACCCCGAGCCTCAGCCTCGGCTCCCAGGCCTGGCCGTTCCGTCCATAGCCTCCACCCTCCCCACCCTCACCTGTGGAGCACTCCCCCCGGGGCCATGTCCTGGCCTCTCCTCTGCATCCAAGGCAGGACGGCCACCTGCCAGCCCAGCCCAGCCCTCACCCAGCTGACCCCCTACATGGCCACAGCCATGGCCGCCCCCTGGAGATGCCCCTGCCCGTGTCCTTCCTCTGCCCCAGGCTGGGCGTGGCCCACATCCCCAGACTCTTCATCTGCCCTGCCTCTGCCCACCCAGCCTTACCTGGTCCTCCAGACAGGCCTCCTGCCACTCTCCTGACCAAACACTCAATGCCTCCCCATTGCCACCAAAACAAAAGGACGGTGACCGCACTGACCCCCGGCCTGGCTGTCACCTGCCACCAACTCCCCTTTGTCCAGCAACACTCCCCCCTCCAGAGCTGCCCAGAAGCCCTCCCTGCCCCACAGCAACTGCCCCCACCAGCCGCTGGTACCCCCTGCAGCCTGGGCAGGTGTGAGCTGGTACAGCCGCACCTGGCCCCTCTTTGTTCCCTCTGCAGCCCCAGAGGGACCCCCAAGATGCTGGCCAGAGTGGAGCTGTGAGACTTTCCCTCCAGAGGGCAGTCGGCCGTCCCGGTCAGGACTGAGCAGGTGCCCAGGTGTCGGGTGAGCTGGTGCTATGGGGGCAGCAGAGCTCAGACTGGCCCAAGTCCGTCCGGGGGCCACAGCCGGCTCCACAGCCCTCCTCGACGGGACCCCACACGCACACAAGCCCAGGTCAGAGACACACACGTCAGCCCTCAGAGCCACACGGGAGGTCATGCCTCGAACACACAGAGCAGCAGCACCAGGGCAGACAGGTGGGCGGCCGGGACAGGAAGGTACAATGCGGGGGGAGCCCCGGGAGAGAGCAGAGGCTGGTCCAGGGTCAGCCAGCTTCGGTGCCAGCCACCCGGCCCCAGGGGCAGCAGGGCCTCTGCAGACGCGGGAGACGCCAATGGCTGAGCGTGTCGGGGTAGAGGCCCTGGACCCGCCCCTGCCCAGGACCATATCCCTTCCTTTCTGGGAATGGAGGGTCAGCCTTCTAACAGCTCCCGGGAAGGGCAGCCGGGTCTCTGCTCCAGGGCGGACGAGAGGCCCGGAGGAGTCAGAAGGGCTTCTGTGCAGGAACCCCTCCAGGTCTGTGCGGGGAGGGGCCTGCCCGGGCTCTGCTGGCTGATCTCCGCACAGAGCACCACCTGCCCTCCTGGCTGGGAGAGGCCCTGCGTCCTGTCTGGGGTGAGGCTTCCCCCAAAGCTCAGCACCCTCCAGTCTGAGCAGACAGCCCCGTTTCCCACCCTCAGCAGTGGGGGACACACCGGGGTGGGAGGGCCGGGAGACTTGGGGTTCCCCCGCCGCCGAGGCAAGACTCAGGAGAAACTTGAGTCCAAGGCAGGAGACCCTGAGGCAGCCCGGAGGTGAGCTGCCCTGAAGAGGCCGCCCTGTGTGCCGCGGTGGGACAAGGACAGGGCCGGCCTGGGGGTCCTGATCTGGGGTCCTGATCTGGGGTCCTGGTCTGGGGTCCTGGTCTGGGGGTCCTGGCC